AAGATGTTTTCAAAGAGTATATATCACAGATGCGCCCATGCGAAATTAGCAGAAAAGTATACAACACATGGGTAGCACGGATGAAAATAGAAGATTACATAAAAAGAAATTACTAGCTAGATAATTTAGAAGTTCAACTGATCCACGATCCAATTGAAATTTGAGACATCTGTTAAGATAACAACCAGCAGCCCTGTTTCATGTTTCAGGATAGAAAATCAATGCTCCAATAAAGATGCATTTATGAGCAAGAATCTATTAACATTTTTTTTCTCTTTCTTTTTGCAGAATCATGTTAAAAAGATGCACAGGATGTATAAAGCACCACTTGACAACCCTGCATGTATCACGGAAGAAAAAATAAATATCTTAAAAATTGAATGAGGACTTGTATGCAGTTGAGTTACCAAACAAACGCAACCTAACTTTTTTTATTTATTTTTCTAACATCACGTTAACTCCTTTATTGAAATCATATCGGTTAAGTATTAAAAGTTTATTCGCTATCAATTTTCAGAGAGTTGTTCAAAAAATTTCATGAGCTGATTTTAAGATTTAATATATTTGGTAATATTATATGATCATATGAATAATATTTATCAACCTGCCCCAGTTCCTACAAGTATCTGCAGCGATATGCTTTATAATCATCTTTTAGGTTTTATGTGATCTTATTTGCACCGGGTACGCTATTTTCACACTTTTACAATCATCAAAGTTACAGGCCTGAACTTAAATGGGAAGTATGAAAAAATGTCCTATTTTTGTCTGGTTGGTCAAGATTTATCTCATTATTGAAACAAAAATTATTAGTTTCATCTCCTACTTTTTCCTCTACAATCCTACTAATTGTATACTTCCAACAAAAAAATATTATTCACTTACTTACATATTTCTATCTACCAACCGCTACCAATTAACATTTTATTATTTATATAACACGTCAACTTAATCATAACATTTTTTTTCTCATATCCGTTCACAATCTCAAAATTATCTCATTTGTTTTCAAAAACATCATTTTCCACTTTTTTTATCTCCATTTTAGAACAAAGCAACATTTTTTGAAAAATATCATATCCAATGGCACACCCTAAGTGTCTAGCAAGGGTTGGAGAATAAATGCAAGTGCATAGGGCCACCATAAACCATAGGCGTTCAACGTTTCTGAAAGCGTATCACTAGAGATAACATAAAAATAAATAAATAAAAGAAAATTTGTCTTCTTTGATGTACACAGACAAATATGCTGATATGTTATGTAATCCCAATCACAGGTAATGCATGGAGTGGAAATTCTGCGAAAATCTTTCTCTTATTCTGATATCAAATATGACTCCATTATCGGTACATTGCAATATATTGTTCGGAGAAAGGGTTGTGGTTTCAGTAAAATCCATCATAAACAAATGTGCAGCAAATATTCTAGCATATATGATCCCGATCGATTATAAAAATCCATTTATGATTTATCATATCCCCTTCGGTTTCGCAAATTCCTCCGGAACTGTTTCCTTTCAAATACATAACACTTTAACACCAATCCACAAGAATCAACCCTAATATTTCCATAACCAAACTTCAAGACATTTCCATACTCAATTTATCACATGAATTCTGAAAATAACAACAGAGNATAGCGATGGATTTACAATAAAAATGGCACAAAAAAATAAAACACCACAATCAAAGGATAAATACCCAACAAAAGCACGAGATAAATTAAAGAAAAAAATAAAAAAGCATACCCGGAGTAATCGATTTTCACTTTCGTTTGAAGGGTTTGGAGCTCTTCAAAAATTTCTTGTTTTTCCAGTGTTGTTTGGATCTGCTAAAACCCTAACCGTATGAAAGAGGGGAGAATGAGGAAGTTGAACTGAGAACATATTTATACGGACTGCTATACGAAGACCTTTGATTCTCTCTTATTTTATTTTCATTTTTGTGCTTCCTCTTTTTTTACCTTTTTTCTTTCTCCCCTCTATGCTTTTTTTGTTTTTAACCTCATAAAATATTCTCTCTTTTGTTAAAAAAAATAAAAAATAAAATAAATAATCTTTGGCTTATTAAATAGTTGAAAAAATAAATCGTTGGCTTACATTTTTTTAAAAATTTCAGTATGTTTTTGTAGTAGAACTATATATCAATTAAAATATTATCTATAAGTTCGTTACAACATATATTATAATATAAGATGGACAAATTGTACAAGTAAAAGTCTCATTTTAAATACAAATAATAATTTATTTTTTAAAAAAGTATTTAATGATGAAATGAGAAATAACTTTTACAATTTTTTTTTTAAATTGCAGTATAATTTTTTTAATTAGCACGCTGTAATAACGGGTGGTGTATTGGTCTATACTAGTATTCGACCCTGTGCATATTGCACAAATGTAAATAATATTATAAGTTATTTATATGTATATAATATAAAAATTATAAGTTAAATAATAGTACTTTATTTTAAACATATAGTATTATAAGTTATATATATGCATATAATATTAAAATTATAAGTAAAATAATAGTATTAAGTTTTAAAATTTGATCATTGGTTAAAATAAATAGTACATAACGATTTGATTGCATACGAATTACTATATTGATTGCATAAAATGTAATAAATATATAATTTTTGTAATTTTGAGTGATCATGATCAATTATTAGCAGTAAAATATTAAATTTATTATAACAATTGCTTATGTAATTTTAAGAAATTTTACTATGCCATTAAAAAAATTAATTTATTTAAAAAACAATCGCTTAATCATATAAAAAATAATATTGATTTTAGTGTAAAATTTAATTTTATGTAACTTTTATATATCATTTAGTATAAAATATAATTACTAATTTTAATATTAATAATTATATTATTCAATAAAAACTATTATATGATTCAATAAAATATATAATTATTATTCAATTAATATAAAATATAATTATTATTTTTTTAATTAACCCAAAGAAGTGTAATGAACTATTTTATTATTAATAAGATAGAGTAGGTTAATGCCACATATGTGAAATTTGTTAGGTTCTATTTATTAGGTTTTATTTAGTGATTTGTGACATAGGTAAAATTTCTTAGGTTTTATTTAATGACTCGCTAGCAATTATATATATAGAAATTTATATATGAGGCATAAATGCCGATCGAAACTCACATCATATATGTAAATATGATAACAAATATAAAATTATTAAATTTTAAAATAGATATTTTAATAAAATATTTTACAATTATAAATTTTCATGAGACGCCAAAAATTACAGAGTAAATTTTTATTTATATACAGGGAATGATAACATTAAATACAAATAATTATTTAGGTGGAATCATTTATAATCTCATAAACATTACTAACTTCTCAATCTCAACTACAGACGAGCAATTCACATATCCCCTCTATATATAATTTCAGAATACGTTGAGTCTACGTGCAAACTCTCATGCTTCAGAATCTTATTTGGTAAAAAAATCATGCTTTGGAGTTAGACTTGGATATAAATTAATATTTGTATTAATTGTATTTTAATATCATTTCCTATTATAATCATTGAATTGCAAATATATTTTAAAAGTTGATAACTTTTGTATTTCTCATTGGTTTTACATATATAATATATCAAATTAATCATCTTTTGATGAGCTTCGATTTGGCATTCACATTGTATATATAAAATAAGTAAATTATATTTATCTTTATAATAATAATAAAATTATTTATTAAAATTAATTAGAAAGTAAAATTATTTATCAATTAATATATTTATGTTTAATGTAGTTATATGTTATAAGGTAGAAAATTTATTATAATATAACACATATAAGTCGCACAATTAACATGTGTCATACTAAAATATCGGAAATGTTCCCCTACTCACGGTAGACACATGTTAATATGTCCACCGCTTATGTGACATGCACACATTGGTGATGTATTTTTAACATATTAACATCACCAATGTGTGCATGCGACATAAGCGGTGGACATATTAACATGTGCCCACCGTGGACAGAGGAGCATTTCCCACTAAAATATATAATAATATATACTTCCTCCTATTTTTATTATTTGTCACTTTGGCTTAATTGATCATTGATAAAATAAATGTCGTTTTAGATCTTTTGTTCATATATTTCTATTTGTAATTCTCCATCTAATACACAGCATCTCTTCATATCTCATCTTCATCGTTTCCCATATATAGCATCCATGGATTAATATTGTAAAAAAAAAATCTTAATTAGTGTGTTGCATTTGAATTGATATTATGAAATCCATTTGTATTTATTATTTATATATATATATAATATAAAACAGTAATATATATCCTTATAAATAAAATTTAAATTTATTTATCAAACTAAATTAAATTATATCAAATAAAACTATAAATTATACTATAAAGTAATAGAAATTGGTATGTATTCTTTTAAAACTGATATTTATTTCAAATCTAGTTGGTATGTTGTCAATCGTAATAAAAATATATCATTATTTATCTAAATTCTAAAATTACATATAAAGTTAAAGAATGTGAAGCACGACTGATATAACACTTGATATATTAGACATCTAATTAAGTAAAAAAATTAATCTATTTTGCTTCATATTAAATAAATATATTTTACACTTATGCATATACATATCACCATATTATTTCTATTTATTTAAGATATATATTTTTGTACTTATGTAATAGTAAATAATATCGATATTTTTATATGATATAAGTAAAAAAATTCAATACGGGTTGATATTTTTATTTAATGTACGGGTGTTTAATTATTATAACTAAAAAAATATAACTTGATAATTTAATTAAAACTCAAAGTAGTATTTTATACAAAATTAAATTATTTTAATTTTTAAAAAAATAAAAAATTTAATATTTTTACAAAAGTTTCTAATTCAACAAACGAGGACAAGAAACAAAACGAATCAAAAGTTAAAACCTTCATTTCCGAATTTCTTTCCCCAATTCATAGGTTTTGGTGCGCATTCACTCTCAAGTGTCCAAGAATCGTGCTGTAGTCCGCCGGAGTTGCTACACGATTGGTCGGGAGGACGCAACGGGCCGAATAGAAATATGGTTTTCTTAGTTTTCCAGTTAACGTCTCGTCCCAATTGACAAGAAGGGCCAAAGAAGAAAGAAAGACTGAATCTTTCTTACATTTTTTGAAGAGTTTGGTCCAAGAGAGTAATAAAGTTATGTTCTACGGATCGGCAGTTTGGGATCCATGGGTAATTGTGGCTCAAATCGTGTGCCTTCAGTGTCTGTATTACCTGACGCTTGGGGTATTCCTGTCGGTTCTTGTCGGGACTCGAGTTTCGAAGATGACCCTTGTATATTTCTTTGATTTTGCTACAGTTACGGCCTCTACAGCTACTGGCTGGTGTGTGATGGCTTCTATTCTTCTAAGCTCTGTTGCTGGGTAAGTTTTTTTGGTCTCGATTGGTGTTTAGGAGTTTTTGGTCGATTAATTTGATATTTAGTGCTAAATATCGTGCTGTTCAGTTGTTTTGTTTTGGTGATCTGGGAGCTTTTTCTTTGTTTTTTTTTTTATTTTTTGGGTTATCTGCTGAAGNTAGAAAGCTAAAAAAAAAAAGACTTATTGGTATGTTAATTGCAGATGGTAGTTTTGAGGTCTGTTGAAATTTGTTGCAATTAAGTGACAATGTGTATAGCTTTTAGACATCTGAAGAAAAGAAAGGCAGAGAAGCTCAGGCCTCAGAGAAAGTTTGAAAATTTTTATATCTTTAGGTGTGTTGTTTTCTTGATTAATGAATTATTATTGAACAGTCAATCATCATGGGGAAAGTAAAACTGATGCTGACAGTGGATATTTCTCTGACTAAGAAAAACTGCAAAAATGGGTGATAAAATTTTCCAGTAGCTGTTATTTCCCATGGTTATTTGCTTGTGATATGTTAACAAGATTATCCAGTTTCATCTTCTATTACAGCTTAATTGTGTGTGAAATTTTTAATTAAAATTAAGAAATTTTGTGCGTTGCTATAGTAGCTTGTAATTATCTAAAAATCCATCATTGACAATTTCAAGCTTTCATACTTGAAACAGAGCTGGATTTTTGGTCTATTTAGTGGAAAGAGCAAAGAAATGCCTGGATTTTTGTGCAACCCTTTATATAATCCACCTTTTCATTTGCATTATGTATGGAGGTTGGCCCTCTTCAATGACTTGGTGGGTTGTGAACATAACGGGTCTAGCTGTGATGGCACTATTAGGTGAACGTCTGTGCATGAAACAAGAAAGGAGAGAAATCCCCATATCAAGATATCGATCAAGTAAGTTCTTTTTCTATTTCTACTTGATACATTTGGATGAAGATTTATTTATTTATTTATTTTTTCCCAAGTTTGAGCGAATTTCATCCATTGATTACATTTTTCAGTTCTATTCTTCAAAATCCTTGACAATTTTTATTTTATTTTATTTTAATTGGGCTTTTGCTTTAGACTGAGTTCATCATAATTTGTTTGGACCTTAAATTGGGTGATCCTTCTTTGTCCTAGTTTTTCCGATACTGCCTGATGTTCTATCAATTTATCTGTCAATTTAATTTATTTTAGTGAGAAGATGAGAAGTTTAATTAACGACAGAAGCCTCTGCAATTTTTGAATTGATTTACGAATATATTAATGAATGTTGACTGTTGTCATTAGATTAGTGAAGTAAATTCATGACATGTGATGATAGCATATTCGACTTTCTTATCAATAATACCCTCCATATGGTTTGATATTTGGTTTAAATTAAATGCTTGATGAATTTTTATTAGAGGAACGAACATTTTATTTTATTTTTATTTCAGTGGAGAATATATATATTCAGAAAAAGTTCAAGGAATGCAAAAGACGATAATGTTTTGAGATCATACAAATTTATCACCAGAAATAAAATTTAGTTCTGATTTTCTTTACGTGAGGAGCTTTAGGATGATAAAAAGGTCATCTGCTTGTTTTTTCTTTTCTTTCTTTTTCTTTTCTTTTTTCCCCTTAATTCTTTCTTTTTCTTTCCCCTCGTTCATGTCGATATAAGTTCTTTGAGTAGCTGATTATAGAAATTATCTTTATTTTTAGTCATATCTGGTTATTTTTAAAGCTTATTCGTTCATCCTTATGTTTGTTTAAAGCTTCTACTGATTCATTTATCTTTTTGTAATCTATGCAGCTGCTTGACAGGACTAGAATCGTGCTGTTTTCAAAGACGATTATAGTTCATTGAATTATAGTTATTTTTCTATTTTCCATTTGCCAGTTGACATTCAATTGTCGACTGAAAGAGAATCTTGCAGGAGCTTACCTGAGTCTTTTGTCTTTCTTTTGAGGCATTTCATTAGATAGATTGGATATTTTTCAGTTTTTTTCTCTCCAAGAATTATTTTGTAATGGTTATATTACTGCAATTTTCAATTTGTATCATGTGAAAGTATAAAATTGACTGGGTAATGCTATGGATCATTGATCATTTTTTTTTTTTAAGTATGCTGCCATAGTTTGACATGAATATTTAAAATATGTTACTAAAATACTGATCAAATATATATATAAAAATTAAACACATATATAATAACAACAATAGTAATAAAAGAAAAGATGATCTTATTGAGAAATTGAGACTTAACATTATGTTATTTATTTATTTATTTATTATATAATATTATATCTATTATATAGTATTACTGAGTAAATACCAGGAAGCTCATTTCCCCAGATGTACAAAACACATCCGCAATTTGATTAACCTAATAAATTAGCAACAATAACATAAAAATTTCAACTAACAAAAGCTCTTTCTTTTTTCCTGTTTTCTTTGAATAAATGATAAATAGAACATTTCCATGCATCCTCACACCTATGAACCATCTTCTTGCTTAGGTTTTTTAAACCTTAAACCTTTCTCCTCCGTCTAACCCTCTTTTTCCGAACGCCATTTTCATCGACCCCATCCTTTCTTTTCTCTTCACTCCGAACATTATCCCTTGTTTTCGAAGAATTTATTTCACCCCTTAAACGCAAGATTTCTCCTTTAGCCGACGCTAGTTCTTCCTCCAACTTTCTCCCTCTCTTTTCCAAACCTTCCCTTTCTCTCCCTAGCCTCAACACCAAATCATGCGCATCCTCCAAATTAGCCCGGGCTTCATGGGAAGCCCGTTTTTCCCTATTGAGATCAGTAAAGATCGCATCTTTTTCATCCTCCAACTCTGAAATCCGAGAATTGGCAATCTCTAACTCTCTCGAAAGAATTAATGCGTTTCGGTTCATCTCGTCTAGTGCTTTATCAGCTTCGTCTAAATCCGACTCGAGATTTTTCTTAAATTCTTTGTCTTTGGCAACTTGGGCCTCGAGAAGCTTCAAATCTTCGTTTAAAGAAGTTGTAGCGTTTTTTCTTTCATTAAGTTCTTTCTCCAAGATTTCACATTTTTGCACTGCATCAATCAGTTCTTGGGAAGTGATTTCAATCTCGGCGTTTGATTTATCCAAAAGCTCATTAGTAGAATTTAACTGTCCCGACAATTTTTCAGTTTCTTGCTTCATTTCCAAAATATTTGTCTGTAATATTTCCTTAGCTTCATTAAACTCAGTTTGAGACTCAGAAAACTTCTTCTCGAGCTTCGAGCAAAAATCTCTCGACTGTTTCAATTCTTCAGACAGATCAGAAGCTTCTTTTCTTGATTTCTCCAAGGCAACTCGTGTGTTTTCAAGCTCACATCCCATGTTTTTTGCATTTTTCGACTCTAATTCAAGCATTTCTTGCAAATTTTCTTTCTCCTTAATCAAATGAGAAATCAACCCATCCTTTCTTTCGATCTCGCCCAATGAAAAGTTAATTTGCTCTTCGAGCCTCCAAATTTGTTCCTCTTTCTCAATCAGAATCTCAGCCTCAGAGGCCGATTTTTTTTCAGCCGATAACCTAAATTGGCTGTATTCGTCCAAAACAGAATCTAATTTCTTGCTCGATTCATTTTTCTCATCAATCAAAAGGGATAATTCCGCTTTTACCTTCTCGACCAGCCCATTCTTCAACTCCAGCTCCTTCTCACTTTCCAAAAGTAAATCCTTCAATTTTTCAACCTCTGAATTTAAATTAGTCACCTGATCCCTTTCTTGCTTGTACAGGAACCTCAGTTTATCGAGCTCTCTTTCTTTTTCATCGAATTTCGATTTAAGAATGCGAAAGCTATCCTCCTTTTCTTTTATCTCCAACAAAAGCGAGTTAACCCTTTCTTGCATATCTGATAAAGAATTCACCTTCTCCTTCAGCTGCTCTTGAATTTCGGTTTTCTCATTCTGGGCCCCACGCAGCCTGGAATCGAGGTTGCCAGCTTGGAAAGTGAGTTCTTTGACTAATGTTTTCTGTTCTTGCAGCTCACTGCTGATGCCTTTGATCGTGTCATTTGCGCGTTTCAGTTGACTCGATAAATCCAAATGCACCTCGTTTTCTTTTGCGAGTGCTTTTTTACTATTTTCTTTCTCGTTCAATAGCTCCGTCTCGAATTTTTCCTCCAGAGAAGCTATGGCGGCCTCTTTCTCATTCAGTTTGATTTTCATCTGTATTACAATAAGACAAAATATAATTAGCCAAGAATCCAGAAAATTATTCCTATCTAAATTTTTTATATTTTCAAACTCAGCTTATCTAAAATTTGCATATGGCTCCTAGTTTCTACTACATTTTACAGTCACATCCTTAAATTCTCTTAAACATTACAATTTGCATATGGATAGCATTTATGTACAGAAAAGATATGATTTATTTGAGACACATTGCTTCTCTCATAATATGAAACTATATTTGCAATGGAATTTCAGGGGTTAAAAGCAAAGCTAGCCTCCCATGCATATATTAAAGATTTAAGAGCTCAGAAAACAAATCCATCTAATCTAACACACACATGCTCTCAACACAATCATAAAAATTAAAAACTCCATTGAATTGGCTTACAGATTCTATGGTTGAATCTGCAGCATCGCTTTCCTTCTTTGCTGATGCATACAGAGCAGCAAGCACGGCAAACCCAATTGCATTTAGAAGCGAAAAAAATGAGTTTCTAGACGAACTTTCTTGAACCGATTCCTGGGACAAATAAATAACAAAAAATTTAATTTGGAAATAAGATTTGATTTTTTTTTTCTTTTTTTCCCAAATGGTGCCCAACATAAGGTTTTGTCTAGTAACAAATAGCCCCATAATATTTTTTTTGTCTTATACAAATTGCAACTATAACAGAGGGGTAATCATCACAGGTTTTTAGTTTTGGAAGAAAATTGAAGTTCTTCTCTAATTTGGGTTAAACACCAGATTTAGTTTTTATAGTAATCCCTAATCTTCATTACCTTTTCTTTCTCTTTCCAGTCTTGTTCCTTCAGTTCAGTATTATCTGGAAAAAAAAAAAAGTGAACAAAGTAAACTAATCAGCCCGCTTACAAAAAAAGCATCTGATTTTAAAATAGTAGTCAGATTTACATAAAATGTAATATATTTTCAATCATAGGTAACATTTCCATGGCAAACCAAAAGAAGAGTGCAAAAAGCTACAGAAGCATTAACTGAAGTAAATAAGTACAAAATCAGTGCCTCAAATACCTAAAGAAGTATAACGAAATAAAAAATTTCAGTATGAGCAATTTATACCGTATATCAAACTTGAAAAAAATTTGACTTGAATGATAAGGGGAAAAGCTGATACTTTAATTACGTATATTGTCATCTACAGAATGTGGCTTATAAACTTGAAATATGTAAGATACAGTAACCTCTTTGAGGATCTACAATTTATTTTATCAACTATAAATAAACCATTTCCATGGAATCTATGGTGATGGCAACATATGACATCAAACGAAAAAGCTCCAAATTGTTACTTACTACAAATTATGTCGTCTATAGGCTAAATAATCTGGTTTAATTGAGCAAAATAACTGTGTTTGCTTCAACTCATCACATAAGGCTTTTTCCAAATATCAACTACAATACCACTTCTATCGAGTTACCGCAAAAACTTGTAGCATAATCCTATGCAGTATCAAACCAGCTCGACAAAATTGTTCTGATACTCAAATACACAGTTGAGGTCTTGTTAAAAAACAATGGCTAAAATAGGACAGCAATATATAAGCATTGTCACTAAATACTAAAATGCTAAGGTCTAAACAGTCTATGCAGCTAAGCTATATGAACAAGACAAAATGAGGGACCAGAGAGCACCCATTTATATTCATCTCTACTTATAAATGCCAATAAACTCACAAAATATAAAACAAAACAAACCAAAACCCATGAAAATAATCTCGAAAAAATAACAAAAAAAAAAAAAAAAAANTGGGAAACTTTACCTGCGTCAAGGGCTTGAATTGCACCAGCCCTCTTTCTCAAAATCGGAATTACTGCAAAACCCATGAACAAAATCAATCTCCTTGAGCAGAAAAATTTGTCCTTTAGGTTTTCTTGGCGTACATAAGCCATAGCTGTTCTGTGATTTCTCTGAGTGCGCTCATTTCTGAAGGGAAATGGAGAACGGGACAAACGCCGTGAATAGCAAAACGGGGATGGGTTTAAGCAAGAATCCATTTTGGCTTATTTCTTGTTTACATTTTCACTTGTTTTTCTTGATTTTCGAGGGTTCGAGCAAAAAAAAAAAGGCACCTTGCACTCGTAAGCCCACGGCCGTTCTACTGGTTCTCTTACTGGTTTTTTATTCGATGCTAATGTTTTCATTGATAAAAAAGTCGGCTAACACGCAAAATTAATATAATTAATAATCAATTTTACCTTAATCTTGCCACTTTAAGATGCAATTTCTTTGGGAAGTCGAATAAATGAAATTTCAAAATAGAAATTAGTAAAACTAGTTAAAAAGCTAGCTTAGTTGATAACATATAAATAAATTTATTTATTTATAGATAATAGATTACTGAAAAACTAGCTATTACAATAAAAGTATTTGATGATAGTTTAAATAAAATTTTAAATAACTTTTTTTAAAAATAATTTAAAAAATATTTATTTGAATACATGAAACTTATAAGTTAACTAAATAAACTATATAAGTTAACTTATTTTTTATTACTAAGCATAGATTTAATTCAATTTCATATTTTTTAAATCACACACTAATTTAGGATTAAGTTAAATAATGGTTGATATAAAATTTAGCATAATACATACATTGGAATATCATATGATGTTAAACATCACGTTAACTGTAACGCAATAATTTATACTATAATACATCATCTATATAATCTATTATTTAAAACAATATGTTCAAGTAACTTGTAACAATCCCGGTTGTTGCTTGGCTACCATTTCTTTATGCAACATCCATTTGGATGTCCGATTGTAAAACAATCTTCGAGTTTGAATTAAAAAAAAATGTTATAAATACATAGTAAATGTACGTAGATGTGTACAGAACACTCACATGGAGTGACGTCCACTTAATTTTTTATTGAGAAATGTTATAGGTACATAAGTGTACATAACACTCACATTGAGTAGGACCTACCAAAAATAAAAAATCAAGTGGACCCCACTCCATGTGAGTGTTATGTACATCTCTATGTATATTTATTATGTACAATATTATGTACCTATAGCATTTCTCAAATAAAAAAGGGTCAAAATTTTTTTCACCCTGTTATATATTTATTCTTTCTTTTACACACCACCCCGTCAAATAATTTCTTTTACACCACAAAATTCACGAAATGCTATGCGATATCTTATAGTTGATTGAAGAACAAGGAACTCCCAACATTTACCTGGAGTTGGAGAAGCGAGTAAATGTAGGGATTTCGGGGACGGCGCAACAAAGTTTCACGCAAATGATGGCGTCCCAAGGTGTATTTCCTAGTTCTTTTGGTGTTGGTAGTTCTGCATTTTCCCACGAGACCCCATATTCATATCAAGCAGGCCCTAGTTCATTTACACATACTGGATATCCTCGGGGCGCTGATGAAGGATCATCACGTCGAGTACGGCGTCAGCAGATGTGCTCTCGATGCGGGGTCATCGAGGATAACAGGGTGAAGCGCCCTCTATACGATGGTGTTAATGACTTTCTTTTCAAATGAAGAAGGTCAAAACGCACCAACTCCTCATCCAAGAACAACATCGAGATGCCCGAGGAGATGTCGTACTTGTAAAGAAACATGTCACAAATCGTCATATTGTTCATCACGTCCATTCCATGATAATTTAGATGAAGATGGAGACGTTATGTAATGTTATGTACCTCATAAGAAATTTAACGGAAAAATACTTTTAACGGAAAAAATATTGTGTTGGTACCCTAAGTTGTGACCTGCACACATGATTAACTAACAGAAAGTAGTGGAACTGGGTTGATTGCGCGATCTGCATAACATATCCCATAATAATCGCACAATTGGGTTGATTGTGCGATTCCCATATCATGTCCCATAATAATCGCACAACTGGGTTGATTCGCAGGTTCATTCGCCTAGTCATCAACCGCATAATTAACGAATCGTATATCCAAATCGAAAGCCGCATAATTTGCGACTATCCGCCATTTTTTTCGCATATCCACATGGACCGCATTGCCGCATTGATTGATTGTCTGCACCGCATATCCAAATCGAAAGTTCTTCGCATATTATTTGCATAAGAATGATGTGAAGATATTGTCTTTTTCAAAACATTACGACAAAAAAGTTCTACACGACATACTACAAATGCAACAACTATTTTTTTTTTATCATATATCGCAAGTGTAAGTTTTACTTTTTATTAAAGCTATATATTATAAATTAAATATTCTATTCTTATTGTTTTGTAAGAATTCTATCAATGTGTATTTCTAACCAAATAAGTTAAATTGTTATTCTCATAAATTCTCATAAGTGTAGGCTATTGATCTAAAGAAGGATAGAATATCATCTTGATTGTTACATTAATATGACCTGAAAATATAAAGAAAAATAAGTCAAAGTATATAGTAAAAAACTAATTTGATATATATATATATATATATATATAAAAACTAATTTGATATATATATATATATATATTGTCAATTAAAAAAAGTGAAAATTATTTCGACTTAATTTGAAACTAAATGTATGGTTCGAAATTGAGTCATTTTAGTATTTTTTATTCAATATTTAATTTATATTTTTTTAATTGGCTCATATTTGTACATATTTATTTCAATTATTCTATATCTGTTTATCTATATATATTAGTAATAATAGAATGATGAAAATTATTTTATTATCGAGACATTTTTAGGAAAAAAGTATGAAGCAGTATTATTTATGTGACAAAAATTAATTTTCATCGAATATCATAAATATTTTTTTTAATGTTAAATTTATTAGATTTGCAATTTTTTTATGAAAAAAACAACATATGATAATTTGTAGTCACAATCACGTATATGTTGTTGTTTCTAGAGTTATGAATCGCTATTATCTGATAGTATAATGAATACAGAACATAACCTACCAATATTATATTTAAAAAAATATTTTAAAATATGATAAATTCCTGAAAGCTGGGGAAGGGAGAACCGGTGAGTCACTTCCCTCGATAGAAAATGTAGTCATTGTAATCACTAACTAATAATCTAATAGAATAGAAAATACTACTAATATAATAGAAAAGAAATTTCCATCTTACATTTTATTACTTCTATTCATATTCTATAAATATTTTATATTTAATTAAATTATAATTCATCCAAGTCATTTTTAACACTAGACCGCGCAATTCGCGAGTGCCTTACTAGTTAATTTGTATTTACAGATTAATCTTTCAATCCACTCAAAATCAAGTTGTGGACTTTGAAGTTTTGGTTCTTGGCA